CATAGGCTACATTTTACTGCAAGAAAATATCTTATTCCCACGAGAAAATTCGATATAATGCAGGCAAAGCTGTGGGTAGACAGCTAGTGATAAATAGAATAAGTTTTTTTTTTACATTTATTATCTTTAAAATACAATTGTAATAATAATGAAAATAACATAAGGTTATTTAATTTTAATGTGACAAATGTGCACGATTTTCTTTGCNTATAATGCGAGCGAAGCTGTGGGTAGACAGCTAGTGATAAATAGAATAAGTTTTTTTTTTACATTTATTATCTTTAAAATACAATTGTAATAATAATGAAAATAACATAAGGTTATTTAATTTTAATGTGACAAATGTGCACGATTTTCTTTGCACAACTTTGTAAAATCTGATTGCTTTTTGGTCAGCTTCAGTTTCAAGTCATCTTCAAATTGAAGTCAGTGACAATGTTTAGTTTTCATGTTTGTCATAACCAAAAATCCGCTCTCGCAGAGGTATGTTGTGCAAAATGGTAGTAAATATTTTATTGCCGCTTCACTGACATGATGATAATGATAATTGTACAATTAACACAATTTGTGTTAATTGTACAATTTTTGTTTCTTGCGCAAGAATTTCATTTAGGTATTGTCACAAAAAAAAAAATGCTTGTTTTTTTTATGAACTTTCGAGAATATTTTTAGTTATAAATAAATGAATTTGTGCATTCGACATCATGTTGTAAATTGCTGAATTTTTGATGGTCCACCCATTATTTTTTGATTTCTTCATCTCATGCATTTAAATTTTAAATTGACCGATTTTAGATTGCTGTGTGTACCCCTTCATGCAATTTCGCGTATCCCTGGGAGTACACGTACCACTAATTGGGAACCATTGATCTATCCAATAATTTTAATCAGTCAAATTTAAATTAATCAGATTCAACTGCATATATATTTTAATGCAATAACTATTTAATCATTTAATGTCCATTGTTTTTTACAAATTATAGTTTATCCTTGTTATAGTGATAATAGTGTAATTTTAGAAAGTTCTTTCAAGAAAATTTTAAAGGGTTATTATCTTGTCTAAATTATAACCCTACTAATTATATTACACAATCCTATCCTAATTATAGTCCTACTGTCAGATATGATTTAATCCTAAAGTGCAATGTCAGTATAATTTATTTCTATAACAAATTTTACAAAGAATTGAAATCATATATTGTTGTTATGACTATGATTATTATAAAGTTATATTTTTTCTATCAGCTTTACAAACAAAATATCTATAATCTGTTTTTATTGTTTAAAAAGTTAAGTTTAGAAGAATAGGAAAACATATTTTTTATCTAAATAGATATTAGATTATAAATTTTTAATTGACAAAAATAATAAAACTAAATTGAAAATTATAAATTGTAACTGGAAATTATTTTTACATGATGTTTATAATTGAAATTTCAGTTATTTGAAAACACAAAATTCCTTTAATAATTTGTCATAATATTTAATGCCAAATTATTATTTTAAATTAAATAAATTTCTGTTGTTATATTTATTATTTATGATACTTTGATGGCTTTTGTGTTTTCTCAATGTATTTCAATAAGCACTATTTTAATAAATATATGCTAGATTTGCAGCAACAATTGTATTCAGAAAAAATCACTAAAATAACTATTGTTTGCTACTGCATCTTATTCAATTGTTATTGAATATTTATATTTCAAATAATTTTTTCTATTTTTTTTTTTCAAAATAAGAAATTTTATTTGCTTTTTATAACAAAAATTTTAATAATTATTTTTGTAAACAAGCCTTCTAAATAATTCAAATTAATGAAATAATAAATGTAATTACTTTTTGCAATTATCAAAAAGTCTATATTTTTAAAAATTTATCAGTTCTTTTATTTCAAATAAGCAGTATTATATTCATGTTAAAACATTTGTTAAAATCTTGGTATCAAAATAATTAAAGTAGTTCATATGACATAATGAAAATGATAATTATATTTCATAATAAAGATGCACTTAAAGAATTTGATATCAGATTTGAAATACCAAATAAGATTGTTACTATAAAAATTTAATAATTTATATAATTGTTTTTAATATTAATTTTTAAGGAAAATTTGTGAAAATTTTATATTTTTTAAATGTGTATATTTTATAAAAGAAAAAAATATATATTGCTTGGATAATAAAATATTCAATAAAATTTTATTATTTTATATCCATGTTTTGTGTTCTTTTATTAATCTCAAAATTTATTATTCATTTTATGATTAAATTTTTAATATTGATGATAAGAATTTGAAAATAAAAAAATATCGGTTGTATTAAAATTATAATAAATGTTTAGTTTTTTTGAAAATAAGACAGTTGATAAAATTTTATTATTTTTCATAATTTTTAAAATATTAAAGTATTTAGTTGCATGCATGTAAAAAAGTCATTGTGAGATAAATTTTAAATGTTATCTTTTCTGTAAAACATTAAATTTTTTTTATCAGTTTTAATTTGAATTTCAATTAGAGTAATTTTATAATTCTGATTATTTTTAAGTATCTGTTGGTTAATTTTTACTAATAATACTAACAATAATAATAATGCTTGTTTAGGTGTATATTGTTCATTCAATGAATATAATATTACTAAAACATTGCATATGTTTTGTAAGTATGAATATGCACTAAAATATTTAATTTTTGTTTTCATATTATCAAAAAATATTTTAAACACCAGACAGAAACATGGAAGTGATGTTATTTCTTATTTAGAAATTTGTTCATAAAAATCCAAACAGAAACCTGGAATGAAAAATATTTCAATTTTTGTATTTCTGTTTCTGTTCTATTTTACTTTAATCAATTAGTGTGTGCATTTGAATGCTGTCTAATTTATCAAAGGACCAATTATGTTATTAGGATGTTGCCAGAAAATGATGACTTAATGGCTATATCAGTTATGATGCACTTTTAGCATTGTAAGTCTATTTAAAAATTAAAATGCAAAGCTTAAAAAAAACTGAGAGAAAATAATAATTTCAAACAAATTTTAAGAGCGACCAGAAAATAACTTCTTATGGATTAGATAAATCTAGTTAGCAATAACTTTAATACTGAAAAAATATCATAAATTCAAAACATCATTGTTCATTTTGTCTAAATTTTTGTAAATCAATATAAATAGATGCAACAGAGAAAAGTTGAAAGAGATGGATCTTTTACATTTTCTATTAGTTTTGTGATAATTTGAAAACAAGTTTTAATAATAATTTCAATACAAAATAATAACATTCACCACATTCAAATTTTGAAGAGAAAATAATTTAAATATTCCAATTGAAATTATTGTGGAATGATTGATCCTGCTAAATATTTAAGAAATAATGAACATAAAAATTATATTATTAAAAACTCTCAAGTGACAGAAAATTATTGTAGCAGTCAATAACCTAAACAGTTACCTTAAATATAAAACACTTCATTTAGATTTATTCATATTGGAAAAAATTAATAAAAAGAACTTATAAAAAATAATATTTCCCATATTCTTAATAACATACATTTTTATGAATTGCTCTATTCTTACAAGCTCTATTTATTTCTGTATCCTGGAAGAATATAATATATGAGGGCTATTTTTTAAATAAGGTCTGTTTTTTAATGTGAAGAAAAATACTGTAAATATCATTAAAATATATTTTTTCCCATATTCTACATACTTTTATCTACTTTTCTACATAATTTCTATTTTTGGTCAAACATTTGTCATACCGCTCAAAAATTTTTTAAATTCCAACTTCAAAGAAATCTGCCGCCTGCTGCCGGAAGACATTAGGCCACGCCACTTGTCTTGTATGGCACAATGGAGTTTTCTGAAGGTCACAATAAGCATCAGAATTGATTGTTGTGCCTCTTGGCATAAAACCCACTAACAAAGTCCCTTTTCTGTCCCAAAAGACAGTTACCATGATCTTTTGTGCTGAAATCGAATAACAGATCGTATCTTACAGTCAGTGTGTGACTCAATTTTCTTAAACATTATAAACTTCTACAGTTCAGCACACAGACAGACGATACGACTGCAAATGGCATCTAAACACGCGCAAAGCATGCTGAAAACAGATGCTCATGCTCACTGCTGCAATCGCACATCATTCTCACTCTTATTCACAAACAGACCTTATTTAAAAAATAGCCCTCATATTTGCCAACATAAACTTTAATAAAAATTATTCTTATATACATTTTATTTTATTGTGATATCACAATATCTGAAAATCAATGTGTGTTAATTACATATAATTTTATATTTTATTATTATTACTACATAGTTATCTAAGATTTTTAAAATTTAATATACAATGCTTATATATGTATATATCCTGAAAATAATTACAGCTTTGAAACAATTACTACTAAATGTTAAAATTTCTAAAACAATCTGAAAAAATCAAATTAACAGATTAAAAATACATTAAAATTAAATCGGTTTTAAATGAATGAAGGATGTGTTAATCAACTATAATTTATTTTTCTATAGTAAATTAAATTCTAATTAATTAATCTATTTTTCTAGTGTAAAGTATAATGTTCAATCTGCAATATAAATTCAGAATAATTAAAAAAATTTGTAAATCAATAAAATTTGATACTAATGTTTTCAAAATATAAAATTATAAATCAAAGTCATCAAATAAAGAATTAATAAAAAGCAATGGAAATATGTAAACATTTTAACATGCTAACAAAAAAGATGTTTTAATGGAATTTAATATGGAAAATATTGCAGTTATTAATAAGAATTTCAATCTTAAATGAATATTGATTGTATTGATTTTTGAGTATCCATTGTTTAATCTTGTAATTTAGTCAACTAGAATGTTAATAGCCATTTGTCAAAATTATTTAGGTAACTTTTTATATAATTTTATTTATTTATTAAGTCTTATATATTAATTTTTAATAATTTTTTTATTGTTTACAATTAAAGAGTATTTTTTTTTTTATATGAAAGGTAATATAGAATCAGAAATCCAAAATTTGAATATTGACATCAACCGTATAGACCATTTTTCAGAAATAAATCAATCTACTGAAATTATTGCTGCTGCTGAAAAAGGTAAAAATTTAATTTTATAGTATATTTTATTTCTTAAATCTATTTATTTAAATAATAATTCTATATTATTAAAAGATAGCTTATAAAAAAAAAATATTCAAAATTTGAAAAGCAAAAGAAATTNGTTACTTAACACTTCCATTGTTGGTGGAAGTGTTAAGCCTTAATCCCGTCTCTCTCCCCTGTGGGAAGGAATTTCGAAAAATCCCTTCTTAATATGCGTTTTCGTGATGTACCCTAACTGTGTACCAAATTTCAACTTTCAACTCCTAACTGTTTGGGCTCTGCGCTTATTATTATTATTATTATTATGTTGAGTTTAGTGGGTTACTCGGTTCACACCGGTACTATGCTGGTACTATATCGGTGTACTACACGTGCATAAAATGATGTACAAAAGTATAATATTTAATATAAAGTAATATTATACTATATAAGAATATTTGTATTATCTTATCTAGTACAACACTTACTTCAATTAAATGGGCATTTTTAAGAACTGTTTAAAATGTTGAAAAATAAAAATATACATTTTTTGTTTTTAATTTTAACAAATACTTTTTCCATTCTTCATTTACTTTTTAAAACAATCTTTATAGAATATTCAAAGTACAGTAGAATTCACTTACAGTAATCACTTTGCCAATATTGATAATGATATCCATATCATATTAAACAGGATATGTAAATAAGACTACAATTACTGGAAATAATAGTTTTTATTGAACCTGATATTAAAAAAATATGATTAAACAATTAAAAATATATAACATGAATATTTATTAATTTGTCATGTTGAGAAGACTTCTTGATATTAAGAAAAGTAGAATGATTTTAATGCCTTTCTTAATATTTCAGAAAAATTTTGTAGATTACATATAGTGACCTATAATCCATACCATGAAATCAGAAGAGTTTTTAACATATAATCTGCAGATCATAGACAAGAAATTAGTAAATTCCATATTTTAAATTCTATTCTAATTTTTTTAATGTTGTATATTCTGATTTCTCAATGTTTAATGTTAAAAACTATAACAAATGAACTCTACTTCTGTTGCTTCTTTTATTTTTAGAGTTTATCACTCTGCTTTTTTTTTTTAAATTTTAAAAATGTCAAGAAATAACCAAATGAAGAAAAGTCAGTGATAGTTTTAAAATAATTGACATCACTGCTAAATTGTTATATTTAAAAAGATTTTAAATTGATTTTTTAATAATACTTTCTGCACAAAATTATTGCTTTAGATTTCTTTGTGTAGGTGATTAAAAGTTAGATCAAATCTACTTTTGTAGTAACATGATTTCATCATAAAACAAAATTTAGAAGTCTGAAGATTTATAAAGGATAAAATTTCTGAAAGACTTTTTCTCATCTTCAGTTCAACTCAAGAACAGTTTGGATAAAGAACAAAGAACAGTCTTTAGCACAAGTACAATTCAATACAAAATACAAAATCTATAAAGGCAAATTGGATACAGTTAGAAATTGGAATTTCCATTAACAAAAGAATATCAATTTCATATGAAAAATAATATTAAAATTTTAATTTATAGAATTTTTATATTGAATTTGTATGTTATGAACAAGTAAGAGAAATTATAGTCAAAATATAATGGAAAAGCTTGCAAAGAATACAAATGAATGAATGATATAGAACACAATTTGTTCTACATTTGTTTGTATCCTTTACAACAGTGTTGTGGAGTTGGAGTTGGATATTTTAGGGCAGAGTTGGAGTCAATAGAATTCTTTTGACTCTGGCAAATCCAACCTTGAATTTTACTATTGGTAAAAGGTGAAGTATGGAAAATACTGTTTAATTAATATCTAAAGAAATTTCTTAGAAAATGGACACTTTGATAAATTTAGATATCAAAAAGATATTTATCTATAAAGATCATTTCACACCAAAATTTAGTGTATACTGCATGCAACATGCTCTGTTCTTTCAGAAAATAGCTTTTATTAATTTAAACAAATATTTCATGTCAATCATCAGTAGAAAATTAACTGTTCCCATAATAGCCAGAGCAGGCGAAACTATTTTACAGACCAATTTATTAAATTATTCTTCAAATCATTATTTTTGCATTTTATTGTATTTAATTTTTTCTTTAAAATGACTAAATTTAAATCAATTTTTGATAATTGACTAAATGGAATTCTTTTGGCCCATTAAGATGTAATTTGTTTCATTATTGCACTTGAAAATTTTTTTCAAGATAAATTCATTTTATCCATTTTTGATTCTCATTACAAATTTTAGTAAAATTTTTATAAAGAAATTTTAGATAAATGCCTCAGGTTCTATATCCATGTCCTACATATTCCGTTTTCTTATATTGTTATTTTGATTCTTTCATTACTTTTTTTAGGTTTGATATTCATCTTAAAATTTATCTTCAATTAAAAAATTAAAAAAGTTATACAGTCAAATCTTATTAACACAAAGTCATGGTGACCAAAAATTATTTGTGTTAAAAGTAATTTGTTTTGTAAGTCATGCCATCGTTTGCATAAACAATTATAATAAAAATAAGGGAATACATTTTGTGAGATATGCAGTGGGTCATGGGTTAAGTCCCAATTGACCACTTACTCTGCACAGGCTGGTAAAACCCAATCTTGGGGTCGTTGGATGGCTAGGAGGGCAAATCGAGTGGGGAGTGCTTCGGTAAGTCGGCAGGTGTCCTTACATGACAGGAGACAGGTTTAACAAAATAACAAAGCATTGATTGAATCAACAAATCTAAACTCTACAAGAGGTGAACTTACTGCTAAGGTTAAATGCGATTATATTAAAATATTTATAGAAATTGGCAACGAATTTTGTAGCTATGTCACTGACCTAATTTCTAGTTCGAGAGAGAGCACTTTTACAAATTCTAACCCCTAAATACCTCTCGGTGGAAGGGAGAGTTTGGCGAATATCGTCTGTATGGAAGGGTGTGGTGTCTTCCGTGTCTTCTTGCTGATGTCCTCTCTCTGTAGCTGGATCAAGTCCGCTGTATGGAGATTCAGGAGTTGAGGTGGGCACTATCAGAAAGTACAACTTCCTATGACGAATCGCCCTGAGCTTCCAGAGATTCGAGCTTTTATATCATTAGCGTGGGAAAACTGTCACGTGATTGACTTTTGTTGACGATGATGATGCATTCTTCACACCTAACTGTAAACTTCCTCAGCTAGTTGTTATACAATCGGTGAAATCCGATCTAGTTCAAATTCTTTGGGTTTTTTCCGAAGACAATTAACAGAAAATTTAGATTTTTAAGAAGCCCGTAAAAATCCGTGAGCTCACAATTTTGTCTTTACCAATACTTATTATTAGCCAAACACTGAGTAAATCTTTGATCAAATTTATTTTAAAAAGCCAAGACAATTTACAAAAGTTTTTCAATTATTTAGTTTTTAGTTAAGAATCAGAATTTAAGAAATAAAAAGTTATAAATATTAAATGCAGGGCTGTGGAGTCGCATAAAAATCTACTGACTCCGACTCCGACCAGAGGTGGACTTGTTACCGAAAGAGACATGGAAATTCTGATGTCAGCACATGACCTCAGAATAAAAGATTCAATAAATAGAGTTCTAATAAAGATAGAACATAGAAACTTCTTATTCCAAAGCTAAAAGACTTCTTTAATTTAAGTAATATATGAATACTAGCAGGTAGGCCTGGCGTTGCTCGGGCAAAAGTAATGATAACTAAGATTAAGATTATTATGTTACAGTCAAAAAATGCAAGAATTGGGTCCCCTTGTTTCCAGACTAATTAGAGAATTTTTAGATGGTTCTAAAAATATATTCAATTTCCCGCAAAAACGAAAAAACTGCATCTGCGTCTTGCACGTCGCTTTCTCTTAACATTTCCATTGTTACTTAACACTTCCATTGTTGGTGGAAGTGTTAAGCCTTAATCCCGTCTCTCTCCCCTGTGGGAAGGAATTTCGAAAAATCCCTTCTTAATATGCGTTTTCGTGATGTACCCTAACTGTGTACCAAATTTCAACTTTCAACTCCTAACTGTTTGGGCTCTGCGCTTATTATTATTATTATTATTATGTTGAGTTTAGTGGGTTACTCGGTTCACACCGGTACTATGCTGGTACTATATCGGTGTACTATGCCAGACCAGAGTCAAGGCATAGCAACCAAAAACAAAAATTAAATAAGTGTGTCAGTGTCGTATTCAGGATTTCCTAACAATGTGGCATGTATTCAATATAGTGGCCTTGGTATAGTGTGATGTATGTATTTCTATTTAATTGTAATGTTCCCAGGCTATTGTGTAGTGTGTGTGGTATCACACCTGTACAGGAGAGAAAAACAGGTATAATAAGCACCCTTTCCATTCTCCACAGATGCCTTATTTCCTGGGCAAGTTCTGTATACTTGCTGAAATTTTCACTGCATGTGTTTTGTACATTGTGAGTATTTGGAATGGCTATGTCTATAATGTATGTGATTTTATTGTGTTTGTCAATGAGTGTGATGTCTGGTCTGTTGTGGTAAATTGTTTTATCTGTGATTATGGCTCTGTCGTA